TGATATTCTTTGAGCATCCAGTTTTAAAGTTTACTATCTTGCAGCAGGTCTGTAAAATTCTCATTTAGAATCCATTTTCTAAGTTTTTATTTTACTTAATGCATTCTGTTAAGTTTTGAAATGTACTACTTCCAAGTAAGTAATTTAGTTGTGTATCATCTGTTTCATTAATTCTCTCTTGAATTGAATATATTCTACTGGTTTTTTTGTTTGTTTGTTTTTTGACCAGTGATTGAACTCATGACCTTGCGCTTGTCAGGCAGATGCTTATGCTGCTGAGCTAAATGCCCAGCTCCTGTAATCTACTCTGTAATTGCTTCCAGTGAGGTTTTTACTTTAATAATTTGTCAGTTGTATCATTTTTATGTGTCTCCCTTTGTACTCTTTGCTCATATTTTCTCATTATTTATCATGATTCGATAGTTTTTCAACATTATCTGTATAGCCTTCTAGTTTATACTTGTTTTTATTTCTTGTTTTTAAGGATCAAAATGTGTTGCTTCTTGATATTTCTGATGGTTACAATAACATTTGCATGCTGATTATTTTTCAATGATGAGTCTTAATTTGTGGGTATTATAAGAATGAATTTGAGACTTCATCAAAGAGAAATTTTTTAACAGTGATAAAGTATTCATCATCACAAGAAAATGTGAGACTTATCTGCCTTTTCTACTTTCTAGAGTTTCAGAATTTGTTTTGTTCACGCTCATAACAATTATGAACCTTCTTTTTAGTGTTTTATTTTCTAGACGTACATTATTTCAACTTTTTTCTTTGCTAATTATTTTGATGTTTGCTTCCATATTTTTAAATAACCTTGCTTTTTATAGTCTTTCTTGATTACTCAGAGCATTTTTTTAATTTGATTTCTTACTTTAGAAGGTTATCACTGGTGCCCTGTTATACTCCCATCACATACTCTTCTTTTATTTCTATACTCCCAATGTTGTTATTAAGTATGATTGCCTGATTCATTTGTTTTTTCAGAATGTATGTTATTCTGATTATAAATACTATAGTGTATTTGTGTTGAATACTATAATTTAACATCTTTCATATATGTATACATGTGCACATATTACAAATCATTATATATGTAAAATGCATCTATATATGTGTATATTTATATAGTTATCATATTTGTTTTTCTTGTATTTAATAATTGTATTTTGTTCCTAGAAAGTTGTACTTGTCACTACTACAGTGTTGTAATCTTGGGGATGCCTATTACTTTTTTCCTGTATTGGAGCATTTATTTTCTGAATCCAAATGTCTTTTTTGTTGTTAACCTTTTTTTGGTGGAAATTGTACTTAGTGTTTATGTTATTATTTAATATATTACTCATTGCAGGAGGCACATTATAAGAAATAATTCATAGTAATTGTAAGTTTAGTTTTCTAGATAGATTATAGGAGAGTCTTTTAATCATTAAGATTGAGTTATGTATTCTTGAGTTTAAATTTTTAAAATTGTGTTACCTTGTGTTCAGTTAATTTCTTTAAAATCAAAAGGTCTTCATGAGCAATTTTCACTTTTGAGAGCAAATTTTTTTTCTTGCAGTAAAGCAATTTTATAGTTTACAAAAGAAGAACGAAATACAAATTAAATCTTCTGAATATTTTAATACTGCATTTTTGTTAGACTAAAGCAGTGATAGTCTTCTTTATTAGAGCTGCTGGAATTGTTTGAAAATTGGCTATACTTTTGGGACAGTCCCATTTACTTTCGTTAATTTAAAATGGCATTTTAACTGTTTGTTCTGTATATTTGTAGCATAGTGTGATTTATGTTCCTATGATACATTTACAATCTATGAATGTAAAGAAATACGTGTACTTGTTTAGATCCAAAATGTTTCCCCAAAAAGAGATAGCACACTTGAAAGGTAATTGGCTTATGGGGAAATAGCTTAATATGCTGTTAGGATGTAGGGCCTGGTTGAAAGTGGTTTGCTGGGGACATGACTTGAAAGGATGCATTCTTTTTTCCTTATCTCTGATTAGTTCTTTCTTGGGTGATATTTCTTTTATGTCTTGGATACTCATTGCAGTTTATGTTTTGTTTTTAAACTGAAAATCTTTTTTTTTTTTTATGAGTACATGTTTGCAGAGCATACCTTCCTTCTGTGGAATTGTTGCATGTTCATAACACATCTTTTTCTTTTTTTTTTTTTTGATCCCCTTTCTTCCCTTTCCTCTCCCTTTATTGCTATTTTGTCCTGTCCTTTCTTTTCTTTTTCTTTTTTCTTTCCTTTGCTTTTCATTTTGTGAGACAGGGTCTCGTCATGTAGCTTAGGCTTGTGTTGAACTCACTATGTACCTTAAACTCACAGGAATCCTCTTGCCAAAGCCTCCCAAGTACCAGGATTGTAGGTACAAGCCACCACACTCAGTTCTCTCCCTTTATTTCTTGGTAGATCCCCTTCCCATTCGAGAAAATTCTGTTTCCTATTACTTATCCTTTATTTTGCTTTTTATTTTTATTTGCAATATAACCATGAAATACTTACTTTCACTTAACATTATGGTATGATTATTTCACTTAACTCTGTGGCCCCAAAGTATATCCATTTTTCTATATATATTCACATTTATGTGTATGCCAGAGTAATATGTCATTGTGTGTAGATATCACATTATTTCTATCTGTTTATCTGTTAATGAACATATAGGCTACTTCATGATTTGACTATTATGAATTGTGCTGCTATAAATATGGAAGGGTATAATCTTGTTCTCTGCTCCACTCTTTACCTCTCGCTTCCTGGCTGCTATGGGCTAAAAAAACCTTTTTTGCTATCCTCTTCTGCCATGCCATTTCTGCCTTGGAACCAGCCAGTCACTAAGCGACTCATCAATAATTCATAGGCCAAAATAAACCTCTCCTTTAAATTGTAGGTGTCCAATATAGTGTCACAGTGATGGGAAAGTACAATAAATATTAAATTGAAATTTCCAGTAGCTTCAATTATGAATTGCCTTTTGCAGTTTTCTTTTCTCTCTCCATCTTTCCTTTCTTGTATGTTGTTTGGTCAATCGTAGCTCAGTAGCACAAGCATTAGTACGTAACAAGTGTTTACATGTGTCTGTGAATCTGTTCTGACTTTCAGCCCCTATAAGAAGTAGAACCTGCGATAGTCAGGAGCAGGCATGTACATGGCAAATTTGCTTATTTGAAAATTCTGCATGAAGCTTTGAATAAAAGGAAAATCTCTCTCGATTTTACTTCCTCTTTATCTCTCTTCGGATTCTCCCGAGTCATTATTAGTACATACTAATAGTAGTTATTTAACAAATCTACAATGCTATAGAATTGTATGGGTTTTTTTTTTTTTAAAGTCCGTCTCTGTTTGTTTGTTTGTTTTATCTCCTGGCATGTGCTTGATTAATTTCTAAGTCTTTAAATCCATATGATAACAAACATGCCTCTTCCTCACAAAGGATCTTCATAATGTGGACCTAATAATTTTTATGTTGAAAAAATATATGTTAAAATGCAAAAATTTCTTTATAGCCTATATATACTGTACATAAATTAAGAATGAGATGTTCACCTTCAGCTGAGTTTCATGTTAGCTACTCTGTATCAGAAAACAAAAAAAGTGATAGGATAAAATAATAAAATTACCTTTTAACTTTTTGTGTTTTTAAGACTATTAACTTGTATTTCATTTAGGAAATTCTTATAGTAAAAGATATTAGAAGATATTGAAGATATTAAAATATGTAATTTATAATAATGAATTAAATGGTTTATTATGTTTTTTTTCCAGTAATGAGTTAGGATTATCATACCGACAAATAAGAAAGATAATATTTTACTCTATCAATATAAAAATTTTTCATAAAAGTTAGACATTACTATAAATAATGCACATAATAAGCTTTAATTTGCATTATATAAATTAATTATTTTACTTAAGTAGTGGGTTTTAGTATACATTTGACCTTTCTTATCTGTGGGTTCCACTTTCACAGATTTAATCAACTATATATATTGAAAATATTTGAAAAAAATTTCTCTCTGAAATGGGCATGAACACAGTTTTAAGATCATTAGTCAATATACCACATAGTATGATGATTATTTATGTAACATTTTTATTGTATTTGGTATTATAATTAACCTATAGATGATTTAAAGTATACAAGATTATATGAATAGGTTATATGCAAATGCTATATCATTTTATATAAGAGACTTCAGGATCTGCATATTTTGATATCTATGAGGTAGAGCCCGGAATCAACACTTTTTGCTTACCAGAGCATGATTTAATTCACAAAGTTGTATAGCTATCACTATTTTCTAATTACAGAATATTTTCATCATTCTCTATAAAAATCATGTATCCCCTAGTAGTTGTTTCCCCTTCGCCTTTCTCTTGTATGTGGAGACCAGTAAACTGTCTTTTCCTCTGTATTTTAACCTTTTCTGGCCATTTACTATAATTAGAATAATGCAGTATACTTGGGTGTTTTTGTATGTGTGGGTGATGTGGTTTTATTACATTTTCACAATTCATATGTTCTGTAGCATATATGAGTACTGCATTCCTTTTTTGCTGTATTATTTTCTACTTCATGTGTATACCACATTTTAAGTATTAATTTATTCATGAACATTTGTTTTTACTTTTTTGGGCTATTTTAAATTATACTGTTATGTAAAATGGAGCACAAGTTCTTGTATAGACATATATTTTCCATTCTTTGTGGTTTGTGCCTAAGAAGAGATACACTGGGTCATTATGTAGTCCTGTATTTTTTTTATAAATATTTTGAGGGAACATCATAATGCTTTGAAAAGAGCTGAACCAGTTTTCTGTTCTGCCATCTCTTGTGTGAGGGTTTGAATTCATCCACATCTTGCCACTTATTAGTCTTCCTGCTTTTTCTTATTATTATCTTTTAACAGTAGCTATCCTACTTGTAAACTGATATCAACTTAACTGCTCATATGAGGAATTAGTACTATTTTTAATCTTACTTTGCAGGTGCAGTACTTCTTTGTAGCGTACAAGGATTTGCCATTAATATTGACCCAATCTTATACACATGGCTCATCTACCAGCCTCAGAAACGAACAAGCAGACATATGCAACAGGTAAAAGACTTTTGTTTTTTCTTTTAATGATTAATATTTTTATCAGTTATTTAGTGGATTTATACATGCCTTTTGATTTAATTTTTTTATGGGTTTACCAGAATTTCTTAGTATACTACACACTTCTTTGAAGAACTTATGTTCCTTAATTTTGTTTATGAGAAATTGTTGCCCAGCATAAGAGTTTCTTTCGTCCTTGCAAACAGACATTGCTCAATGTTAATTTTTTTTTATAATCTGTACATTTCTTTTACTTTTCTAGGTTTATTTAATAATCATGCATTACATGCCTAATCCTGGGAATGGGATGTTTGCTGCAAAATGTTCAGATATCTTCTTCTTTAAAAAGGCATAAGTCAGGGGGCTGGGGATTTAGCTCAGTGGCATAAGCGCCTGGCTTGCAAGCAGGCAGTCATGAGTTCGATCCCCGGAACCAATTAAAAAAAAAAAAAAAAGGCATAAGTCGCAGAGTAAGAGAAGCAGTAGTTGATTGTTGTTTCTAGAATACTTAAATGAGATTTTAGTAGGATATGAACTGTAACTGTAGCAGTTGGTTTTCAGGTGAAGCAATTGATATTCACTGAGACTGACTTGCCTGCAGTCACATAGATAGTAAATGGTAGTATTGAGAATTGTTGAGTTCATAGTTACATTGTATGGGATTATATTTCCTCATTGTAATTTTGCAGTATTCTGTATGAAATAGTTCGATATCTTTTGTTTTAAAGTAAATTACTGTTAGTGGGTATAGGAAGAATATTTGATTTTATAATTCAAGAGAAGTAAAATATTAAGTGAAAGATACAATCCAAGCTTGCACGTTTGCCAGCCTTTCTTTTTCTCTTTCTTTCTCTTTTTTCTCTCTTTCTCTCTCTTTCTCTCTTTCTCTCCCACTTTCTCTTCCATCCTTTCTTTCTTCCTTCTTTATTGTGCTGGGAATTGAATTTGGGGCATTCGATATACTCATAAGCATGTGGTACACCACTCAGCTATATCTCCAGACCCTAGGGAAGTGTCTTTTTAGGTTTTTCTTCACTTTAGCATACTTCCTTTAGAAATTTCTGCCATCCTTTCCCCACCTTCAGTCTTCATTTTATTAAGGCGCTGTTGAATATTAAATATGTGCTAGATACCAAGGCTACCAAAATAAATCTTAATACTGGTAGTATCTTTTATTTTAGGAACACACTATTTAGTATATTTTAGAATGTCCAGCAATACAGACATATCATTTCTAGTATATGCTATCCACATGTATGTCCAGAATTATGTGGAAAAAAAAAAGGAGCTACTTTCTCATTGTTTACACATGATAACTGACACCCACATCTGTAAGGAGGAAGGGTTTACTTTAACTCACAGTTTATAAAGGTTTCAGTCCATAGTTGGTTGGCTGTAAGTCAGAGCAGCATGGCAAAGCGGCATAGCCAGTAAGGAGCAGTTCATGGTATGGCAGCAGTGAGCAGACAGAGAGAGGGGAGAGGGGAGAGGGGACGAGCAAAGAGGAGAGGGATAGAGACCCTTCTAGGCTAAGCCTCCAGTTACTCATCCAACCAGGCTTTACCTCCTTATATTACATTTAGGCATAAACTCATCAGTGGACTAATCCACAGATGAGTATCCCACCACATGATCCAGTCACCTTCAAAATTCCCCACCTATAAGTACATGAGGCTTTGAGGGGACATGTAGATAGAAATCATAATAGAGAAGATATGTGAAAAGGTACAATTAACAATTAAGATTAGCATCATGGCATAAACCAGTCAGGAAAGGTTGTTGTTTGCAACAGAACTATCTGAACAGAGACAAAGAATATGCAAGTTGATGTTAGAAAGGAACATATGTGGGTCTGAAGTAGAGTAAACTCTTCTTGCAGAGACTGGTAAAAATTGGAAATCATGGGCCGGGTTATTTAGCTCATAAATGTCTGCCTGGCAAGCACAAGATCGTGAGTTCAATCCCCCGTACCACACACACACACACACACACACACAAATTGGAAATCATCTTCTAGAGGATTTTAGTTGTAATTCTGTGACATCCTGAAGGGTAATGGGAAATTATTGAAAGCTGATACAAAGTGGTGGCTTTTAGAAAGGTAGTGCAGTAGAATGTAGAGGATGTGTGATACAGAAGTGAAACTAATTGTAAGGAACTATCTGAGAAAATGTTTCATTATAAATTGTTGTCTTCATTATAAATTCCTATTTTGATGTTGATATTGTTATCTCCAGTGTACCCTAGGTGACCCTGATGGCCAGAGTGTTGTAGCTGCTTAATTAAGTAAATTAGACATTTATTAATTGAACCCGAACACATGCAAGCATTCTGCTCTTTATATTTTATCAGTACTGTTTTTAAGTTAAAGTTTTAGATTATATGTTCAAAAATAGAAGCCTTACATATGTTAGTAAGCTAACAAATATTCATTTGTAATTAAATCTTTTATTCATTCTTACTAAGACTATACTTTTAGAAGCATGTTTAACAGATCTAGGCATATATTTTTGGCATTTTGAAGGCATAGTTTAAGATGGTAATGGTGCTGGATTGCTTCAAAAACTTGTGCACAATTTAAATTTTCATCAACAGTTTCTAACATTATATATAATTAAGCACTACTAAAAAGCCCTGGCAGTTTAGCTACTTACTGAGATTTTGTCTGATAATAAAAGAAAAAAAATTAAAAGGATGGAGATGTAGCTTATTATAAAGACCCTATGAGTCCCTAGACTCCCCACCTTCACAGCACACAAAGTGGAATCAAGAAGGCAAAACCAAGTTAGACTGCAAGCTTAGAAGTTCCTTAGAGAGTAACTGGTGTAAGCCTATTTTGTAAGACTGAAGAAATCTGTCTGATGTACATAGGGTATGGGAGTAGTAAAAGATACTGCCGCTCACGTAGAACAGAGTTTTTTCAAATGGTGGCAGACTTTCTCCTCTTACCATTTTTCATTCCGTCCACCCTGCAAGTTTATTGGATAGTGACCTCCTCTGTCAGGGTTGGTCTTCTATGTTCAGTGTGCTGTCCATTCTTCTCTGTAAATACTCCAATTGACACACTCAAAAGTATGTTTTACCAACTTGCTTGGGGGTCTCTCAGGTTTTTTTTTTGTACCAGGGATCAGACTTACAACCTCATGCTTACCAGGCAGGTGCTTATTCCACTGGGCTAAACTTTCGGCCATATATAATTTCTTGGATTAAGAAAGTAAAAGAAAGGTACCTTATAGAAAGAGAAGGTATGAGAGACTTCAGGTATTTTGTGATAATGAAACATTAACAGAGAAAAGATAAGACAGATTAAAGAAAGCTACTGTATCAGTCAGGTTTTCATCAATGTGACCAGATACTTGAGAATCAGTTTAGAGGAGAAAAGATTTATTTTGGTTTCAGAGAATTGAGTCCAAGGTTGGCTTCTTTGATCCTTGAAGTGATTGAGAACATCATGGTGGAAGAGTGGAGCTAAGCTGCTCACTTCATGGCAGGTAGGGCTCAGAGAGGAAGGGACCAGAGATATGACCCAACCCTTCAATGAGGCCTTACCTCCTTTTCAATTTCCTTCTCTTAATACCATCAAATTATTAACCTGTTGGGAATAATCCATGGATGAATTTCATAATCCAGTTATCTGGTAACCAAGCTTTCACAAAATGGCTTTTAGAGGACATTTTAGATTAAAATCATAAGCTATTAGAGTTATTGAAAGTAAACACTGCTTTTTTTTATAGTTTGACTGGAGAAGTTACATTTCTAGAACAGTGGAGGGAATCACTGATCTAACGTCTCCAGTATCTCTTGGTGGCTGATGTGCAATACCTATATTACCAGTCATTCATTATTATTGATAAGGACCTGTTAGACACCATTATAGGTATTTTAAATATAACTATATACAAGAGCCTTGCTCATGTTCAGCAGTTTTGATTGATTTTAATATATTTTTACCTATATGAAAATGCAGTCCATTTCAGCCACTGGGGGTAAAGAAATTTTTGGTTTACCAGTGGGTTTTGCCAGTTTGGTGGCTTTTATTAGCCTTATATTTTAGCTACTGTGCTTGAGTATCACACTGGCAGCACATAATTTTTCTCGTTATTATATATTAATTTTAATCCTGAGCTTAACTGTAGTTTCTTAGAGTACTTAGTTATATTCCACTTATATCAATGTCAGAAATTTAAGGGAATTTAAAGCCACTAATGACTACAACTTAAGGGGTTTTTCAGTATACATCTCTGCTTCCTTTAGTTTTATAGGTGAGGAAGTTAATTTTTATTTTTACATTTTTTCAAGAAGTGCTAGAAATTTTAAATATGTAATGTATATTGTAATTGTACATCTCCTTTGACAGTGATATTTTATGGAAAAATGAGATTTAAATGATAAAAGCTTCAAATATGCTGAGAGTTTGTCATCTAAGAGCTTTCTGTACTTCTATTTGTTATAATTATTGTCAATTTGACTAAATTCTCAATACGAAACCAGGCATTTTAAATAAAATCTTTTTATTTTATCATTTTCAGATATCTTAATACTTTTGCTCACACCATTTAACAACTTGTAAGATAATTTACCTTTTACCAGCCAGGCGTGGTAGCTCACACCTGTAATCCCAGCACTCGGGAGGCTAAGGTGGGAGGATCATTGTGAGTTCGAGACCAGCCTGCGTTACAAAATGCCCTCAAGGCCAGCCTGAACTGCATAGCGAGACCCCGTCTCAAAAAGACAGAAAAAGACAAAAAAAAAAAAAAAAAAAAAAAAAAATTACCTTTCCCCTCGCTTTCCTATTTACATTATTTGTGAAACTTTGTTTTGATGTTGAAAATAGCCCTGGACTACTCTGAAGTGCAGCCATTTTGTACTATACCCACCTTCTACAACAGCTGGATCACAGTTATCTTCTGTTGTTTTCCAAGCTATAATTTCCCTCTCACTTGTGGCTGAAACCCAACTTTTGATGATTGTTTTCCACCCAATTCAATATTAGTCTGTGACCCTTTAGCAAATTTTAAAAACTTTTCTTTTTCTTTTTTTTTTTTTTTTTTTGCCAAAAATCTGACAAGATTGTATTGGGAGTCATCAGCAGTAACATCACACTTTCAGTGAATAAAGATGAAACAGCTGTTGTTGTCCAGCTCAGCACTCATTCAATATAGGATCATAATATTTTCCATCTTTCTCTATTTTTCTGTGCTTTCTAAATGTGCTATAGTTACCACTTTGTCATACAAAATGTAGAGATTTCTCAGTATTTATAAACTAGTGGGTTGTGTAATACATTTATAGATATATGGTATGTTCATAAAACTACCATTTTATAGTGATTCACATTCTCTTTTCCTTGGAGCCATAATTTTCTAAGGAATTTTACTTTCGATTTTGCCCTACCTTATTATATCTTACCTGAGTACTTGCCAGTTCTTTTGGTTTTCATATAGAATTGTGAACCATGACCTGAAAATACTAAATGGAAAATTCCACAGATAAATAACTTATTAATCTCTAAATAATTTTTATTGAAATATATTATTGTTCTATTTTATTATTAGTTATTTCTCATTATGCCTAATTTATCAATTAAACAATGTTATCAGTATGTATGTTTTTAAAAAACATAATACAGTTGTACTTTGGTAAACATGGGACACTGGCTCCAAGAACCATCTTCAAATGCTAAAATCTGCATATGCTAAGTCCCTTATATAAAATGGCATAGTATTTGCATGTAACCTATGCATATTCTGTCATACACTTTAAATCTTCCCTAGATTATTTTTATTTCCTAATGGGATGTAAACGCTATGTAGCTTGTTGTTATACTCTTATTATTTAGAAAATAATGGCAAGATATAAGATCTGTACGTATTTCACAAAAATGCAAGACTTTTTCCCCTTGTGTATTTTTGGTTCAGATTTTGGTTGAAATCACAGATGCGCAACCCATGGATATGGAGAGCTGACTATGTATATAAGGTTTGGGACTATTTGCAGTGTCAAGAATTCACATCCACAAAGAGTCCATGTTACATATTCTCTGACTATAAGGAAGTAATTATATGTGAAAGAGAGCTAGAATGATGAAGGGAAAAAGGAGGGGCTAAGAGAAGGGAAAAGGGAAAGAGAGAAAGTCTGATAGAAGGAAGAAAAAAAAGAAAGAAGTTAGGAGCAAAGGAAGGAAAGAAGGAAGGAATGAATCAATCAACCAACCAGCCTACCAATCAAGCAAGAGAAAAAGGGAGGATAGACAGAAGGGAGAAATTTAGAATAATAATCAGCCCCAACTTGTGAGGGACTGATACTAATGATACCATACTTAAATGTTCATTACTTTAAAAAGTCAATAACTAATTTTTTCATTTTGGCTTTCTCACCAGCCTGTCGTATCTGTTCCTGTTGTAACACCAATTAGCAAAAGGAAAGAGGATGAGCTTTCTGTTGGAAGTGCACCACTGGCAAAGCAGCAGTCCTACCAGGCCTCTGAATATGCTAGCAGTCCTGTAAAGACAAAAACACTAACAGGTATGTGTCAAAAAATGGTACCATTTCTTCTAAACAAAGCTAGCCTGTACAATTTCCAAGACACTGGGTACAGAAATGAGACTCCAGGAATGGAGACATAGTGCTCTGTTAGGTACAACCACCATCATAATCAGAGTACAAGCTTTTGGGGAGTGTGTTCATGTCATTAGCCCAATTCCCACAGGGTGGTATAAAGAGGACCAGAGCTATCTTTGTACATTAGACAGTGTTACTTGATAGGAACTTTAACAAGTAAATTCTACATGATATAAAAGTCTTGCCCAATCCACAGGAAAACTTTATCTTTACTTTTTAAAACTCACAACACACTTAAACTTTTCTTAGCAAGCAGATGACTATTCTCTATGCAAATATCCTCAAAACAAAGTTGGGAATGAAAGCCTTCACTACTTCTACTTGTAAGATACCGAGAAATAAGATTCACGTAGCATTGCCTCCTAATAGTGTCTCTTCTATCCATAAATTCTTGAAAACCACAAAACAGTATATCTCAGTCTTCTTTATTCCTCTTTGTCTCACATTTTCAGATAATCAATGCAAATATAAAGTATATTATTCAATAAAGTGATTTATCATATTTTATATAAGAGAAGAGCAAACCCCCGGCTACTTAGAAGAGCACTTTATGATTTCATTTTAAATGATAGTTTTTCAGCTTTAACTTTTATGATGAGCCACTCTTCCTTAGGAAATTTTACATATGTCCTTAAATGTTTAGCTTTTTAAAATAATTCATATATATTTCATCCATATTGGTAAAGATTTAAATTTTCAAAAAATTGATATCACCATTGAATAATTGTTGTGATCAAGATTGTTTTAAGTGAAATTAAAGACAGACATAATACACAATCCATACCCTTCTAAATTTAAAATAGGATTATGTACACAAAGATCAAATCAACACGTGTAATTTAAGGAACATTTAGTGTCACTTTCCTACCACACTTCACAATTAAAAAAATGCTGAAATAATTTTTGAGGAATTTTATATGGAAGTCTATGGTTATTTCTTTTTGTAAAATAACTTTTGTTTACTGCATGGAATTGTTAGAATTTTATATAATATCTATAATCTCTTTATTCTCTTACTATTTTATTATCATAGATAATCTTTAATTTGTATTGAGTTTTAGATGTAAGAGTATACCTTATACCTTTGGCTTATAACTTGTCTTGATTATAATTATATTTTACTTCAAGAGACTTGGGCTGTTTTTTTTTCAAATTTTAGTTTCTCTTAAAATTGAAATTTATATAAGAATTTATGAATATCACTTCTCTTCTTCATTGAATATGCTAAGTGAGTGCTCTACTACCGAACTACACCCTCAGCCCTTTTTTTCTTTATTTTGAGATAGGGTCTCACTCAATTGCCAAGGCTAGCCTTGATGTTGAAGTCTTTCTGCCTTAGATTGCTGAGGAGCTAGGATGATAGACCACACTGTACATACCACAAAATGCATGGTTTATATGCAAAGAGAATAAATTCATTTTTAGCAATTATTTATTAAGAGGTGGTGGTCAGGAGGTACTCACCTGTAATCCTAGTACTTGGAGAGCTGAGGGAAGAAATCATATGTCCAAGGCCAACCTCAACCAGTTAATCTGGCTCCTATCTTAAAATAAAACCAAATAGGTTTGGGGTTGTGTCCGAGTGCTAGAATATAATAGTCATTCCATATTTATTTATCCTTCCCTTCCTTCCTTCTTCTGCCTCTTCTTTACTCTTTTCCTCCCTCTTCTCTTTTGTTACACATATATTTTGAGGATCTTTGAGAAAGACTGGCCGTGAACATTGGTCCTCCTACCTCATCCTCCTTAGGCATTACTACCAGAGTCTGTAATCCTTTTTCCTTACTGACATACCCAGCCCTGAGTAACAAGTGTGTATCATCTTATTCGTCTGTTATTTTTTTTGCAATACCTAACATATAACCAGCTAGCTACAGTCTTCTTTTTTTAACCAGAAAATTATTCTAAATTTGCAATCCATTCCCTTAGCACTAAGATAGTGAGAAATTTTCCTTACAGTTGACAAGATGGATTTCCAGGGAAATACCCTCTCTTCAGAGCATGAGTGGGCCTTTTTTTCTTTAACTGGTATTACTTTACAGGTACATAGTTAAGATCCTAGATGAGACTCAAAATTGGACCACTATTGTTTAGTTTTTTCTCTGATATGTTCCTAAATGATTCCTGAATCACTGATGTTGCTACCCAAGTTTAAAAAAAACAGTATTTCCCAAATTTTTATCTGGTGTATAAAAATCGCTGTGTACTTTGTATATATTACAGAAAATGAAAAATTTTACACTCACTTCCCTTTTCCTCTTGTGGGAATTTTGAGAATAAACTTTTGTTATTAAATAGGCTATTTTAAATGTTTTCTGACCTCAAGTATGCTACTTAAAGTCTAAGCAAGAGTTTAATAATATAGTCATATTATTTAAGACTGAATGAAATTTGTCTCAGTATTTCAGAAAAGACTAAATATCAAGGATTTAAACAAGATTAAGCTTTATCTCTTATGTGAAAGCTCGAAAGGTGTTCTAGTCTTCTCAGATCAGTTAGTTTCGTGTTCTGTCACGGCGGCCTCTGTTGCCAGGCTTCATGTGTGATTCGGGATAACTGTTTCCACAATTGATGTAGTCCAAATTTCACTGAACAGAAATGAGTAAAAGAAAAGAGACTCCTTATCACTTTGAAAATTATTTGTGCCCCACATTTGTTTATATACTCTTGGCTAGAAGGTGGTTAGATGAAAAATAAGAAAAGTAAAGTATTAAAGAATTCAAATCTAGGTCTACAACTGTCTACACTATAGTTGACATACCAAAAACAAGTAGTCATCTAAAAATCTTTAAAACGCTCTGTAATTAAAAATTACCCTGAGTGGTCAGAATTAGTGCAGAAAAATCAAGTAATATTTTAAACTTAATACTCCAGTATTAGAATACTGTTAATATTTTTCCCATGAAGTGTTGGTTTAGAAATAGCAATAATTTTTTGTCACAGTATGCTAATGGGAAAAACCCAATTTCTAAATCTATATTTTCATTAAATTCTCTGATGGCTTTCTGAATATTTCCAAGTTTATTTTGTTTTGTTTTATTTTTTGTTGTTTTTGTTTTTTTGAGGCAAATTCTTGCTATGTAGTTCATACTGGCCTTGAAGTTAGTCTATAGCCCAAGCTGGCCTTGTATTCACAGCAGTCCTTTTGCCTTAGCCTCCAAGTACTCGAATTAAAGGCATGTACCATTACTCCCAGCTGTTGTTTTGTTTTAGACAGGTTCTTGCTTTAAGTTGCTTTTATTTTAGATTTGTTACAACAGATATGCTTCACTTTACCTTGAAGCATTTTCTGTTCTTTGAAAGGCAAAACTACTTAACAATTTATTCCTGAGAATAAAATGAATAACAACGTTTTACATGTATACCCTCCTTCATGTTTAAATTTTCCAGTGAAATTAAGTATCTAATTAATCAACAGGATTAGAATTTTGAGTTAAACTGTACGATTAAAGCAAGCAATTTCTAATATGCATAAAAACACAAAAATGTATTTCTTCTATATTAATACGAATTCCACGCTATAATTAGGAACATAACCTATTCAACATTCAAAGTCAAATCAAAAATGGTTTGAACATTTTTACATGATCTGTTGTACTGGGATGACTCATTTTGCTTATAACTCACATTTCTTAAAAATTATAGATTGAAAATATATCAGTGACTTGGGAGAAATGCTATTAATACTTCTATTGAAAGTCTCCCTATTAAAACCATCCTAAAAGAAATATTGCTTGTGATTAAAGTGATTTTTTAAAATTCAAATGAAGTTCAGACTTGGAATTCATATTAAACTGACAATAAAAATAAGAAGGTAAAATACAATGTCAGGTTTGTTTTGTAGAAGGAATTACACCTATATGTGAAAAATACAGGGATGTGCCTCAAGAGAATTATATATATTTCCTGATATCTTACATTCCCTTAATAAGAACAATACTTACCCTACACAAATTTTTCTTTATTTTTACCCATGTTGCAAATAACCCATTCTCCAGAACATTAAAAACACAACTCTGCATAAGATTTTATATTATATACTGCCTGCTGTGATCTTGCTGTACAGATTATTCCTCGTCTTTAATCTTGCTTTTTGTCCTGCTTTACCATATCTATAGACATACTGTAATGTCTGTATAGATTTCTTGAAAAAGTTGTGTATGTAGGCCCTTCCTCCTTCCTCATTTCCCTTCATTCCTTACAAACATTCCCGGGCCACTTGACCTCATACTAAGAGTGTATTTTCTCAGCCTCATGATGTTTTGATGATTTTGCAGTGTATCACACAGTTTAAACTGAGAAGAGTATTGGTGAAAATACTTCAGGAAATCTTGGGTAAAGAAAGGATTACATGAGTAAAAAAGTTAATAGCATCTCCATATATGCAGGCTCAGGGCATAATGATCAGTGAATGTGGTAATGGAAGGACTGAGAGCTAGGTGAGCGCAGAAGGCAATGAGTTAGAATACTTCTTGAAAAAAATGAAGCACAGAAATGAGTTCAAAACTTTCCCTGGATCTGTGCAGCCTGGATAAATGATGTTACCAGGGCATGGTGTAGCAAACTAATAACCTGTTGCCTAGCTTGCCCCCTAATTGATGGGTAATTTCTTTACTAAGTAGTAAACATTTCTAAATTAGGACTTTCTAATTATAAAGACACAAATTTTATTCAAGGAAGTAGAGAAGTAGTTATTGACTCACCCCCAAAAAGGTCAGAAAAGGCCAAAAAGTCAAAAAAAGATCTTTTCTTTGGATTAACTTAGTATCAGAGTACACTGTCAGGACTTTGTCTTTTCACATTCACTTAGGACTTTCTACTGAACATAAGTGTACATGGCTGTGGTTCCTCTGAACTCACTTGACTTTGTTTGATTAAGGTGAAATAGATTTTTCTCACAATTG